AGATATAGACATAGACTTACACTCTAAAGAAAGGTATTTTTAGACACCAATTAGAGTAGGTTTTTGGATATTTGAAAGCCAAATACGGTTTCTCGATCGATCCTGGAAACCTTTATAAGGTTTATCAAAGCTGAAAAATACGTTTCCAGACTTTGAAAGTCCTTAAAGCATTTCCGATTATAATAAAATCAGAAACCTCGAAGGATTTTTGAACTTCGCAAACCTATCTTTCACCTTTGATAGACCTTTTAACCTTTTAGTTACCAATATAAAAAAGAGAAAAAAGCTTTTTGGGACACCACTATAACTACCTAATTTTGATCTAATTTTATAGATTTATGAGATAACGTTAAATCTTCTGTTTGATATAGAAATCTTTGAAATAGTTAGTAATAAATAGTCCGACATAGCATTCAGTGCATTGGTGACGTGTGTCGTTTCATTTCTTCACACGTCGTTCAGTATTGCTAAGAACATAATATTTTCTTTGAGGAGTTTGGTTGCTTTCATTTGAAGGAATTAGAGATGGAGATACTTGACTGCCAATCACAATGGATGAGCACTCAATTGTCTGTCAACATGCGACTTTTTTAGGGATGCATTTTGCAATGAGTTCTCGAATAAGAAGAAAGAGAACAAAAGATAACCATATGTACAACAAACTGACTGTTTGCTATATGCATTCTTTTCTAAGTCACAACTCTAGAACATGCCTTTATGAAATGATGATATCACAGACTTTGGCTGCTTAATACTTGTTTCTATGCAAGTTAATCTAAACAATATGCACTACGATTGATTGCATTAGTTTTAAAAGTTGATAAAGTCCATGATGTTTATAAACGGCAGCAGTAGCCAAAAAGTTCAAGATTTTCTGAGTTAATCTGAAAATCCTATTTGGTGTTCGAGTGCTCGTAAACACATTTTTATCGACTTTCGAAAATACTTTGTTTTTAGAGTGTACACATATATGCACTACATATATGTAGACTGCATACATAGTAGCTAAGTACCAGCTCCATCAATCACATAATCGTAGATATTCTGTTCAAAGGATGGAAGCGCATAAGACCATAAATCGATCCACGGTACTTTCATTTCCCAATCTATTCCAATCGAATTAGTGTTAATTGCCCGAAAGAAAAAAGATCGAAAGGTAAAATTTCGAAAAAAAAAGATTGACAGGTAAAATCTTGAAAATCGAAAATCTCGAAAAAAAGTATCGAATGTGCAAAATCTCGAAAAGCAAAAATCTCGAAATCGAAATCTCGAAAGTATAAAATGTAAAAGTAATTCGAATCCTTAATAGATACTTAATATATCAATCATAAATGTGTTAAAGTAAACCAATGACACATAAAAATGTTAAAAAAATTGACATAAATATAATCAAATATTATATATGGAGTAATTGCTTTTTCTGTGTTTAATAGTGTGGAGTGTATAAACTTGTGAGAAATACGGAGGAGAAATATCGATCATTCCATCAATTAACACATTTTTTGCATTGAGCAGAAGTTGGTAATTGTTGGTCTGTGCCCAGTGAAAAATATTCATAGAAAAATCATGATTGTTTTTGATTATCGGTGTAAAAATTCTTATATTCTGAAGAAAATACCATTTTTCGTAAAAAATCCGATTAAAATCGATTGAAATTTACAAATTCATTGAAAAAATAATCTGTTTCATCGATTATTTGCGATTATTACGACTATAATTGGATTTTAATCCACCATCGATCTTAATCTTTTTAATGGATTAAAATAAGAATTGATTAAAATCAGATGAATCTATTTCCAGTTGATTAACTAGGATTACCACCATTGCGATTGGATTTTCATCAACAATTGATTTTAATCACTTTTCATCGATCAAAATCTGGAGTGCTTAAAATCAAATGTATAAATTTTCATCTGATTAATTGGGACCATCCCTATCACAATCAGATTTTAATCCGCGATCGATTTAAATCTTGCTAATTGATTAGAATCTGAGTTGATTAAAATGTGATGAACGGATTTTCATTTGATTTACTTGAATTATGCACATCATAATCGAATTTCAATGAATAATCGATTTCAATCTTTTACTTTCATTAAAATCTGAATTCATTGAAATGAGCTGATCAAATTTGCATTTGAATAACTAGGATTATCACAATTCGATTTGAATTTAAGCGAACAATCCATTATCAATGAGTTATTGATTATTGGTAAGGATGTATAGCAGAGCTATTAACTCTGAGTGAAAACTTCCAGCCGCTACCTTGGAAAGTTAAATGTACAGAGTTTCTAGTTCGATGCGATGAACTAGGAAAAATATGCCGCGGCTGCAGCCCCGCTGAAGTAGTTTCAATAAAGGTGCCCAGCGAAAATATTCCTGCGAAAATCACGATCATATTTGGTTATCGATGGGAAAAACTGATTTTTTCAGACGAAGTCCTCACATTGTCCAGAAAATCCGGCTGTAATTGATTGAAATTTCTAAATCGATTGAAAAAATAATCTGCTCCACTAATTATTTTTGATTATTCAAATTGTAATCGAATTTTCATCGGCAATCGATTTTAATCTGTTCAGCCAATTAAAATCTTAATCAGTGAAAATCCGATTGATGGATTTCAATATTATTATGAACAATTCTCATGGTTACTACTTCATTTTAATCTTCAATGGCTTTCAATTTGTTGAATCAATTCAAATCTCAATTAATAAAAAATGAATTCAGAGATTTTCAATTGATTATCAAGGATCATGCTAGTTCGTTAATTTGATTTTAATCGTCAATCGTTTTAAATCTTTTAAAACGATTATCTAAGTGTTAGAGAGTATTGGTAAACTGTATGCAGAACCAAATGACTGCGACTAATACATGGCATTTTGATTAGAATATCAGTAACTACTTTACATACTATAGATGAAAATGTTGTGTTGTATTTATTTGGACAGATGTTCTAGAAACAACATGATATACATGAATATGAACAATATGTAAACCTTTTCCAAAATATAATTGAGGTACAAGAATTCATTTAGAATTGATTTTAATTAATATCAAGCTCATCGAAAACAGAAATCATGTTTAATCGATTTCAGAAAGTAACAATGAAGTAAAATTATTTACTTTTGTAAGTAGAGGGTACACATGATATGAGTAGAACATGTGAGGATATCGATTTCAAAAGCACTTCATGTGCATGTCGTCATTACATAACAAAAAGAAAAATAATATACGTAATTGATTAATATCGATTAAAATATTTTAATTGATTAAAGTTGATTTCTTTTATTATCAATCGATTTTTATCGATTTCTGATGCAATTGCACCATCTCAGGTTGAAGCAATTTATATACCAGTTCCAACTTTACTATAGTCATCGGAGTTTAGTTTGATGACAACTTCATAGCTTCACAACAGGAGGAATCTGACAAAAACATGAAAAATTGAGGTATTGCTTTCAGATCTCGATAAAAATGCTAATCTTCGCTGTTTATGATTAAAGTCGATTAATAATTACATATTAAAATCGATAAACAAGTGACAATAGATTAAAATTGATTAACACATAATAATAGATTGGAGCAGATTAAAAAGTAATCACAGATTGAAGCAAATTAACAGATGAAAACCCAGTGAAAAACTCAAGTGGCTAAAGCCGATTAAAATTTCAAAATCGTATGGCAATAATTGAAATTGATAACTTGATTTTTATGTAACCAACTCAAAATACAATTGTGATAAGTGAATTATGCTCATATCACTTGTTTTTATATACACAGAAGACTGTATAGACCGACGAAAAATACCAAAATTAGGCAAAATAATGCCTCATCAGTCATTCTGTGTTACTGCTTACTGTTCGAACTTTCGAGATTTTGCTCATTCGAGACTTTTTTGTCGAACTTTTTCTTGTCAAGGTTTTCGGTTTCGAGATTGTTTTTCTTTCAGGAGTTTTTCCGAGATTTTGCCTTTCGATCTTATGCTTTTCAAGCAATTAGCACTCCCTCATCCAATCAGGTGTGGGATGAAAGTCTCGTTGAAGACAGCATTCAGATACCAAACTCAAGGTGTTACTGAAGGGTAAGAAGATCTTCAGTCATGTAAGGTGCAGGCAATTGGAACTTCAAGTAAAATTTTTTTCGCATTTTTTTTACATCAACAGATAGAGCTTGAGCTGCTGATTACGAAAATGTATTTTTTAATCTTATCAAATGCTTTCTTCTGATCGAAAAATATGAAATATTTGAAAGATATTGTTTTTCGAGAAAAATACATCCCTTCTCGAAATGTGCAAAAATTTTTATTTTATTCTGTTTTTTGCTTGTGAAAATAATTCTTTGAAATTCAGCATCAAAAACTGAGTAGAAATAAGTTGTTAAATCGACTCTAGACCCAAAATTCTATTGGTAGTGACGCTTCGATTCGCGTCGAGTTTACCATGTATAAATTGATTTTATAAACCTATCTAGTTTTTCTACGTAAGTAATGGAGACAAATATTTAATCTCATTCGACTCATGATAGCATCAATCACAAAGTTACGCATCGCTTTTTTTTTCTTTCTTTTCTTTTCTTTGTTGAGAAAAATCGTTTGTACTGGTATCATAGGACAAAGAGGAAGGTCATCTTTAAATAAAATGTTTATTTTCCTTCAAATCGAGTGAAAATCGATTCAAATAGGTAAAAACCGATGACAAATCAAATGGGCATACTCTCGAGATCTCTAGAAGGCCTTCAAGAGGTTTCTGGGAAACCTTCCCTGGAAAAAACATAGTTTTGTGATATTAATCGATATTTTATGATCTTTAATAGACAAATTAACCACTCTTCATACTTGGCTATATAATATAAATGGAGACACGCTGAATAAATATATTGAAATAGAAAAGAATATGTTCATTAAGGCTCGTTTATTTTTTTTATTTGATATTCTACGATGTGATTGAACTGATGCTTTGCAAAGCTGACTGAAGAAACAGTTTTAATACATCAGCATATGTTTAACCTTGAAGATATGCTTCGATTGAACGCCAAAATCGCTCGAATAATTTTACTGCAATATTTTGTTCGGCAAAATGTATACGAGAATCCGCTATTAATTTTATCATTTTTTCAAAACTTTGATCTGTATGTGAACTAACAAATGCCTTTTGATTGCACCAAAGACCTTCAATTGCATTTAGTCGCCAGCATCTCAAGTTTTGTAACCTAGACAATAGAATAGATTATATAGAACAAAATATCTTTAAAAATATGAAATGACTTTAACTTACATTCTGAAAAACTCGATGTTTTGAAAATATTTCACAAATTTCATCTAACTTAACTTTAGCTGATAATTCCATACCTAAATCGTTACATATTTCAACTAAATCTTTCGATTTATCGTTGTTTGAGCCCTGTTTAAAGTAACAATCAATAACTTTTGTTGCACCATTTTCATCGACATATTCGATTTTTTCAATCGAGCACCGAGTACAAATATTTTTACCAAATTCTTGTATTATCTTCTTCACTTGTTGTTTTGCATCATTCATATCTGAATTAGAATCTCTGTCAGGTTAGGAAAGATCATTCATTTTATAGCTTTTTAAAATAATTATTGACATCTGTGCTAAATTAATTTAGTTCTTATGCATCATTTTGTTCCGATAATGTTAGCCTTTTAAAACTGCCAATATATTTTAGGTGGTTGTTTAGATGCTCTCTAAAGAATCACTTTCATGCAAAAATCATCAATATTGACTATACTTTGAAATAGCAATACTTCATCCTTCTTATGTTTGTGATGAATGAGAAATACTAAAGGATTTTTTTGATAGTTCAAGTGTTCGAGACAGTTAGTCTGTTGTAATATCGATAATTTCTCAGCTCATCGAAGAAAATTACGATTGTGATATTTGATTTCCTTAAATAGCAACCATTTAATGTATGTGTATTTCTGAAAATAACTCGCATACTTGTGAATTACATAGAAAACTATTTTATACATGTTTTGGTAATTCTTCTTCTATAATCAAAAAAATTAATTATAATAAATTATATCCATTTATTTTTACAGATCATTGCGTTGGCATTCTAACACTCCTCTCACATTAGAAGACCTTTGTGAACTGAAACTTTTGAAAGACATACTGCAAAACTCGGGTCTTCTAATGCAAAAACCATTTTAAAAAAAATTTTCGAAGACTTTTTCATCGCTAAGCATATTTTAGTTGAAACTGCAATTATAAAAAAAAGACGTTTCGCACTGTTGAAATGATGGGAAGACACTCATTTTTGCGCTTGATAAAAAGAAGAATGAAGATGAAGAGAAATTCACACATAACATCACTGCATGTATGCGAAGGCACAGACTAGAGATATACAAGTTCATCATGTACCTATCTTAGTACGGTTATGCGAACGTCTAAAAAACTTGTTCACATTTCCGATCCTATGGAAGCAGGACTAAAAGAGTTGGGACCAGTTGCAAGTTTCCTGATCGGATCAACCGGTTCAATTTTGAAGTTGAAATGGTAAAAAGTAGGTTGATTCAATGTCAGTTATAAAGTCCTGTGTTTTATGAAAAAATTTATCGTTCCAGAGTTTGGCACAAATATAATGTGAAACTTACATAGCTCTTTATGTTTCTAGGAAATCAATCTGTGTTAATCGATCTCATCTGATATATATTGGTACCTAATGGCCAGAAAAGAACTTCTTCAAGACTTGTAGATTTGTGGGACTACAACAGGTCCAAAATCTTGGTTTTCTAAATACTTTTCTAGCCGACCATTAGCAAAAGTTATAGAAGTTCCTGGCTGAAATTCTTGAAATACTTATTTAGAGAGTTGCAAAGACTTACAATTTTTTGCAAGACAATTACAACTGCTGTAAGAAAGAAGAGAAGCTGAAAAGTTCGACATTAGAGTTATAATTCCTATCTTCAAGATTTTCTGGACCTAATTATTTGAACATTCTTATAAGGTGAGCATTATGCACATAGTTCGACAAAATTTAAAAAGTGTTTTTCTATTATTCTGTTTTATTAAAACATGAAATAAAAGTCATCAGTCGTCTCAAGTCTTAGGCAGTCAAATGGAGTGTGGTTTATTCGGTAAAAAAGCTGGCAGCTTGAAAAGTTTAAGCGAACCGATAACTAATCGGTCTGGTTCTGGCTTGTCGGTTCACTTTCAACTCTAGATCAGGTTCGTGACTGGTTTCATACATCTTTAATGCAGAGGAAAAGTCATCTTTTCCCTGTGCAAAAATGACAAGAAAAGAAGGCAATAATTATTCGTAACAAAGGATACTGATGAAATAAATGTGACGAGTCGCACTTACTATGCTTGAATGACTGTCGTGAGGCTATGAAGAGTGGAACAGCTCAGATACAGATGACGACGAAGAGAAATGAGTTGTTATGCAGAGGTTTCAGAACTCAAATAATACAATCATGGATTCGTCATCATCTGAAGCGTGTGGGATTGGAACTGACATCGCGCACGGCCCTTGTCCTACCTTCCCAAGAATGGTATCAAAAAGTTTCCATTTTTTCCATCTGCATTCGTCATGTTTCAAAAAACTACAGTATAAACCTGACTCGACAAGTGAAAACAGAATTAGTGATGGGTATGGGTGTGAGGATGTAGGCATAGATGTTCAATAGGACAAGATCCGACCTCATACCCACACCCACACCCACCCTCTGATTCGAGAAGTCTTTTAGTTGCTTGTAATCTTTCGGGATCAAGTGGAGTCAAACGAAGTCATTTGGCTCTGCAGAATTCAGAGTCTGCTGTTTCTCCCTTGGACTCTCTTCACTTTATGACGAAAGATGACAGAGCGAAGAGAGTTGAAAACACACAAAAAAGTGATCATATCATTTCCGAATAACATCGAAAGAACCTAGTCAAATATGTTGCTCATCTGAAAACGAATTTTTGCAGTCGGCTATATAATCGAAGATCACTCGATAAATGAATAATACAAACAATGGTTATATTCAAATCATTTGCTCAATTCGAACCAAACATTTGAAATTGATTCAATTATCGATGGTTACGTGACAAATGAACAATTCAAATCAACATTCTATTCAAATATTTTGCTCAATTCGAAGCAAAGATTTGAGACCACTTACATGATTGAAGATCACTCGATAAATGAAAAATTTCAACGAATATTCTATACAAATATTTTACTGAATTCAAAGCAAAGATTTGAAGTTGATTTCATTATCGACAGCCACGTATCAAATGAATAATTCAAACCAACATTCTATTCAAACATTTTTCTCAATTCGAAACAAAGATTTGAAGTTCATTTCATTATCAATGCACACACCACAAAATGAATACTTCATACAAACATTCTTTTCAAATATTTTTTTCCATTCAAACCAAAGATTTGAAGTTGATTTTATTATCTACGAACACATGACAAAATGAATACTTCATAGTAACATTCTTTTCAAATATTTTACTAAATTCGAAGCAAAGATTTGAAGTTGATGACATTATCAATCAGTATACTACAAACGTATAGTTCAAACAAAGATTTTGTTAAAATACTGTACTAGCTTGGGAGTAGTGGATTAGTGCTCCCAAAACCCTTCAAAGTCACACAGTTTGTCAATAATTCTAATAAAGAACATGCTCAAATATTTTTCTCATCTCAACGTAAAAACTGGGGGTTCCAGATGCGATCGACGAATACATCGCAAATGGATATTTCATATTAAGATTCTATTCAAATAAGTTATTCATTAAAGAGAAAACATGTTCTCTTTCTTCAATGATCAATGAATATATTGCAAATAAATAATTCATATTAACATTCTATCCAAATAATTTCGTCACTAGTTGAGAAAATGTACCCAAATCGTCATATCATCATTGTATACATGACAAAAGAATATATTATACAAAGATTTTATTCAAAACATACGGTTACATCAGCCGAAAAACTCCGAGTTGGTGATATGATCGATAAACATATGACCAACCAATAAGTAATATCAACATTCTACTCGAATATTTCTCCCACTGTAGAAAATAACCTATCCAATTCGTCATATTATCGATGAATACACTACAAAATGAATAATTCCTAGCAACATTCCATTCAAATTCTGTCCTCATTTCACAAAAAACCTATCCAGTTTGTGACATTATCGACGAATACACGCCAAATCAATACTTCAAACAAAACATTTATTCGAACTCTTTGCGCAATCCCAACGAAAGATAGGCAGCTGATTCACTTATCTACAAACATACAACAAATACATGATTCAAACCAACATTCTATTCAAATATTTCGCTCGATTCCAACCCAACATTTGAAGTTCATTTAGTTATCTACGAGCAGACAATAGATGCATAGATCATACGAACATCCTATCCCAATACTTTCCTCCATTCGGACACAAGATCTGGAACTGATTTTGTTCTCCACGAACAGACAACAAAATGAATAGTTTACAGCAACACTTTAATCAAATATCTCGCTTCACTTGAAGCAAAAATTTCGAGTAGATCTTCTTCTATACGAACAGATAACACACGAGTAGTTCAAAGGAATATTTTATTCAAACATTTTGCACCATTCCAAGCACAAATCTGGACTTGATTCTGTTATCCATAAACAGACAACAAATGAATAGTTTATAGGAACATTCTATCCAAATATTTTTCTCCAATCGAACGAAACATTTGGAGTTCATTTCATTATCTACGAACACACCATAAATGAACACTTCATAGGACCATATTATTCAAATACTTTGCTCAACTTGAAACAAAGATTTCGAATGATCTAGTTCTGTACAAACAGGTAACATTCGCATAGTTCGAAGCAAGATTTTATTTTAAAATTTTGCTCTATTACAACGATATATCTGGAATTCATTCTGTTACCTATGAACAGGTAACAAATGAATGCTTCATAGGAACTTTCTATTCAAATATTTTTCTCATTCGAAACAAACCCTTGGACTTCATTTTCTTATCTACGAACAGACAATAACTGAATACTTCTTAGCGGCATTTTAATCAAATATTTTGCACGAACTGCAGTAAAGATTTCAAGCTGAATTTCTTATCTGCGAGAAAAACACAAGTGAATAATTAAACAAACACTCTATTCAACTATTTTGCTTCGTTCGAACGAAAGATTTACAGTTCATTTTATTATCTATCACCACACAACGAATGAATAGTTCATAGTAACATTCAATAAAAATACTTTCCTCGATTCCAACCAAACATATCGAGCGAATTTTATAATCCACAAACAAACACTAAATGAATACCTCAAACCAACAGTCTATTCCAATATTCTGCTCCATACTAACAACATTTTTCTCGTTGATTTTGTTATCGACAAACAAACAACCAATAAATAGTTCATAGGAATATTCTATTCAAAAGGTTTGCTCGATACAAACCACAGATTTGGAGTTGATTTCACTATAGACAGCCACGTAACAATTCAATAGCTCCTAGCAACAATTTACTCAAATATTTTCTTGCATTCCAACCAGCGATTTCGA